TGAGCCTTGGAGAGCCGGGCGGGGCTTTCTTCGTGACCCCTCCAGAGCAAGTGCGGCCTTATTTATTCCCCTAAATAGAGGTGTGAGCAGCAGACCCTGAAAATGCCGTGTCAGGGGGATTTTTAAGCAGAGAGGGCTCCTTCAAGCACGTTTTCAACTTTCAGCATCAACTGTTGTCATTTTAATGCATAGCACCGTGCTGCCTGAAGATTCCTCGGTGGCTGCAGTTCCACCTGCGCTCACTCCTCGCCCTCTTCAAGGAGCTGCTGTTTAACAAGTTTTGTAAACTAAGTCTCTCTTTTTCTTTAGAAAATGGTTATATTTCAAATTATTCTATGTAAAATGCTATAAGTCTACTTGGCAGCGGTGTCCTTTTGTGGATTCTGCTTTGTACTTTGAGTTAGCCACTTGTCCCCTGATAGCAGGAGTAGGTGAGCTTACAGGGGCTTAAAGCCGTAAAACTGCAAGCGATGTGTCTCGTAGGAATAACCTACTTGCGCCCTTAGATGTGAAAGCGTCTGCCTTTTTAAAACTTAATGGCATTTCCTGGACACTTGAAGAAGAAAAATTCTGGTGCTGATCAGCAGCTTCTCGGTCACATAATCTTTTGGGTATTGTAACAGTCATCTGGTTTACATGACGGTAATCCTAGTCATTGCTTTAAAGTAAGTTCTTATTTGGCATAGTTTCGGTCCTCGCTTGTTCCTGACAGCAGTTTTTGAGGAAGTGAAACACAATTGTACCACTTAGCCCAGCCGCTTCATCTAAAAGTTCTGCTTATTCAAAATTAAATAGCTAATTAATATAGAGCTGCTTAACAAGCATCACTTTGTCTATTTCTAAAGTGATGCTAACCACTTTATATTTGATGTAACTTACAATTAATGGCGTTCATATTCTATAAAGCCTGTGTTAAATACGGTAAAATAGTTTATTTTTCTTTTTAGTGCTAGATTGGCTTCTCTCTTTGGCCTGGATCAAACAGTCTCAAGCTATGGAAATGAATTCTTCCAGTACACTGCACCAAAGCAGCCTAAGAAGGGTCAAACGGCAGCTGGTAAGTAGCTGGTCTTGAGTGTGGGGAAGAAGCTTTGCAGCGCGTGTCTTGCTGGGAGAATGAGGGCCTCTGTGCTCAACAGCAGTGAAGATAATTTATTTGGGTTTCTTAAATGATATTTTCCTGTAGTACTCTCCCTATAGCTGGCTGCTCTAGCAGCCTTTGGAATGAGATTTTTTGTTTTTCGATCTTCTGAAGTGTTTTTTCTTTCAGCGAAGGAACATGTTGTCATCACTGGCCAGCGAGCTCAGCGGTTTGTATCACTGACAGATATTCCTGCTTTTCGTTCTTCAGCAGGTCCAGCAGCCCAGAAGGCTCCTGTGGCCCCGGCAGCTTCGGGAGCACCGTCAGTGTTCGTGGCCACCGCAGTCCATGCTTATCGCTAGTAAGTGCAGCGGTAGTTTCCTGCATGACCTGTTTGAGTCTGTGGCTCTGGGAGCTTAGGACCTAATCATGAAGGGAAGATAGTTTTGAGTGAGTGGGAAGAGACCATTGCTTACAGACATGTGTCTGCATGGTAGAAATGCTACAAGTCAATGCAAGTTTCTGCTCAAAAAAAGTTTCAGTTTATATGCTGTAGTTCTGGGTTATGCGGTTGTCAAATAAATAGCAAGTTCTGGGTTTGGCCATTACAGGGAGCTGCATCCTGGGGTGCTGGCCTGACGTTTGCCCTGGTTCCAGGCAGCTCTGTCGAATGCTCCCCCCTCGTGGAGAACTGAGGCGTGAACATGGACCAAAGGCAGTAAAATTCTCTGTGCTTCGATGCTGCCACAACGTAAAAACTCATTTGCCCTGGATCTGTGAAAAGGTTTCAACTCGAAACGCTGTAACGTATGCTCCCATAATCCGTGGACAAGGAAAAAGTTGTAATGCCTTAAAGTGAGGAAAGTCTGCGTGACGTGTTGGGCATGAGAAATGGGAGCTGAACTCTGAAGAAGAAAAACTCAGCAGTTGTAATGCCTTAAAGCAAGGAAAGTCTGCGTGATGTATTAGGCATGAGGAAAGGGAGCTGAACTCTGAAGAAGAAAAACTCAGCAGCAGTAGAGAGAAATCTGAGGCAGGGTGGGTTCTGCAGCTGAATATCTCGCTTGTCTTCCAGTACAAATGGGCAGTACTTGAAGCAAGGCAAGTATGGAGCAGCAGTAGTGGGGAACCATGCTACTAAAGAGGTGAGAAACACTTCACTTCTTTAACGTTGTCACGCCGAGAGCACGCTGGTATGAGGTAGTGTTTCTCTGAGCGCACCAGAATTTTGTAGGCCTTCGTTCCGCTGCTGCTTACACCTTCCTGCCCCCCTGGGTTTTCTTACGGCTTGGCTGTTTACCTTGGTAACATCTCTGTTTTCTGCAATCTGCCGAGTTTGTAAGATCTGTTACAACTTGTGCCTGAAATATTTTGCAATGGTTCAGGCAGGCACTGCACCATCTCTAATGTTTTTGGAAGTGATTTTGATATTTATTCAGAATGTCTTTGACAACCGGATCACAAATCTGTGCGTGTGGAAATCGAAATTTTGTCCAGCAGTACAGGGACGCTTCACTTAAGTTTTGTTAGTTTGGTATCAAAAATATCTCTCCTTCCCAGGTATTCCTCTGAGATCATGGCACTGAGGTGCCCAGTAAATCAGTGTGTTTAAAAGATACTTTGAATAGCCTGATATGTCCTTGGTGTTGCTACTTCTGGTGCTTCATATCCTCCAACTCCAAATTTATGTTGTCTGAGTTGCTTCTCCTTTGGCAAGAACAAAAGAAATAAAATAGGAGTTGGGTTCAACTAATTCCTGAGTTGTTGATCTGAGAAGCATTCAGGTGTGGCTCTCGTGGTGGAGCTGGGAAGGACAGGATGTGCAGGAGCCGTTCTCGGTTGTTTTTATGGTATCACAGCCTGCACAGCTGGAGCAGCTGCTTCACCAGCCAGCTGTGCCGAGGGCAGCTGCGTAAAGGAAGGCACTTCTCCTAAGCAGATTGTGTCTAAGAGAGCCAGCTCTGATTTACTGTTGTATCTGTGTTGTTTAGTACTTGCAAAGCTCCCTCTGACTTTTTATCACTTTGTCTGCTGCATCTGATTTATGCCTGTTTGCCCTGTGTTGTGAGTTGTATGTATGGAAGGGTTAGTGCACAGTAACTGGGGAGAAATGTGGAATTAGTTAAAGCATCTTGCTTATTGCAAAATCGTTAGTTTAAATTGCTTGATTCGTGTAGCTAAATGAATCCTGCATATTTTCAAGGACTTTTAATAGGTGATACAAAATTTTGTTATGTATTTTTGCTGTGAGAAAGGTTGCTGGAAGGTGTATTCGACAAATAAATACTGTAGCCTTAGGCTCTGAGTTTGACAAAGCACCTTAGAAATGACATTTTGAGTTTCTGCTTTTTATTCTTTTCCCCTGCCCGATTCCTTGTGGAATCCAGTACAGGATCATCCTTTACATGAGTCAGCAGCAACAGATCACAACTGCAAGGATCCACCCGGCCTTCGTACTCACGGTGAGACTCTGGATCACAAAAGCATTCAGTGATCTTTTCAGCAAACAAAAGATGACTCTGAACGGGTTGTTTACAGCTTTTGAGATGAAGCATCTGACTGACACCTAATGTGTGTTGCACAAGAGACTGTTCCGTCTGCCTCTCAGCCAGCACCTCGTCGGCAGATTTCACAATTCAGGTCCTTACGCCGTGGGAGGTCTGTTATTACCTCCAGATCACCTGCAGATCACAGAGCTATTTTGAGTTTCACAGTCCTGCAATGCACAGAAACAGAACAAAATTCATTTTGCTAGTGATTTGTGGTTAAGTGACTGAGAGAATACTGAGCAAGCAGAAGGAAATGGTAGCGAGGAAGTATTTCTTCTCTGAAATTTGACACTCAGCATTTTCATGCGATAAGAACGATTTGGAGCATTTTAAGCCCTAAGAGGGGATCTCTTAGGAAGTTCTGTTTTCCGCCAGTTTTACAGAAAACTAATGTGTTGGTTTGCTGCTCCTAGCTTGTTATCAGGTGACATAACATTTCTTGGTTTGATAGAAATTTTACTCTGAAGTAGTAGAATTTCAGTCCAAATTTCTCACTAGGATGCAAGCTCACTCTTTAGTTTTACAAGTGCATTTTGAAAGATTAATGGGTTATGTAGTCAGCTTCATGTGTCAAGGATTTTTAAGTGAGGAAGGAGTGACTCCAGTTTATTCTGGAAGTTTAAAATATAGTCCATACTTTTGAAAAGATCACTTACATGTAAAAATCTCACTATACGTTATAGAACTTGGCTTCAAAGAAGCTTGTGGAAGCTGTGGCACCTGTGAAGGACTTAATATTTGCTCAGTTATTTATGTGAATTCTTTCATGATAGTGAGCACATAAATGAAAGCTAATTGATGTAGTTTGAACCTTGGTACTAATACAGCATGATTCTTCCTCTGCCCCTGCTTAATTTCCGTAGCTCTTATTTTAAGCTTCTTTTGGATGTCGATTTTTTAATTTTAGTTGAATGCCTCTCTTTGTGTATAACATAGGACAAATTTCCTTTCCCACAGGTTCAACCCAACAATTACAGTACGTTCTACGATGACCAGAGACAAAACTGGTCCATCATGTTTGAGTCGGAAAAGGCAGCAACCGATTTCAGTAAGCAGGTAACTACTCACTCTGTGCCGAGCGCGATTTGCTGGCTTGTTTAGAACAGCAGACAAATGGAGATGTGGCTCTGAGAGCACCTGGATGCTGAAGGGTTGAAAGTCAATTGTATTTCACCATTGAAATTCAGCTCTGAGTATCTTTTTTTGAGTATCTTCTGAGTGTAACCATTGAAATTCAGCTTTTGAGCATCTGCATGGTTGTAATTGAGGCAGAGCTGCGATGAGCCTGGCTGAGTTGTGTTCATTAGGTGTCTGAGTTCGTTCGTTCTCTGAGTTGGGGACCCTCTTCCTTCCAATGGGATTTTGGATGAGGATTTGCAGATATTCTACAGACCAGTGGTTCTGTAGAGCAGAGAGTATTTACTATCGTAAAATTCAGCACAAGGAAGCATGGAATGCCTTGGAAGCACCTCTGTAAACTTGATCAGAAGGGGAAGAAATGCCTCAGACCTGTAATGAGTTGTAGTGGAACTTGCTGCTCTGTTGGACAGACACTGATGGGCTTCCCTTCCGCAGGTGTGCATTGCCAAATGGAACAGCTCCCCGGTGCTCGATTCGGTGCTCTACCAGGATCTCCTCCTTGGAGAAGGGCAGGGAGTAGAAGCAGGAGACTCCTTGGAGGTTGCCTACACAGGTTGGCTGTTTCAGAACAACGGACTCGGACAAGTAAGAATGTTTCTGCTGCCTTTCCAACAGTAAGTGAGCATGACAGTCCCTGGAAGGCACCTGCCACGTCTAGCCTCGCGTTGGTGGTTTTTCAGTCACTTATGGCACCGCGAGGTCTGTTGTGTTACCTATAAAATAAAAAGGGATTCCATTACAGCTCAGGAAGAGACGACTGAAATGCTCTTACCTTTCACACATTGACATTCTCACACAGTAATAGTAATGCGATCGGTGAGAAGGGAAGCTAGCTATGCTCCTGTCCAAAACAGCTTGAGGAAGTGATAAGAAGGGCCTTGTCTGACACAAAGCACGTTGCTGAGAATTAGTGGAATGAGATTGCTTCTACATCCTCTACAGCTGTGTCCAGTCCACTTTGCTGATAAGCAAAAGGTGTGCTTTGATATTTCAAAGCATTACCTTTAAAACATAAGAGTGGTTTTACTGTTAGCGAAAATCACAGCAAAGAGCTTTGCACTTGCAGCTACCTGCAGCTGAATCTTTTTGCTCCAAAGAAAGGCTTTCTGTTTTTCAGCTTTTCTGGTTTTCTTGGTCTACCTGGCATGCTTCTATGTGCCAGAATGGGACTAAAGCTCGCTTTAGTCACACAAGTTGTTCAGCTGCCTGTGTCTTAGTTTAATGTACAAAACTTAGGCAGTTGTTTGCTGCTTGATAAAAGCCTGTCGTGTTGTGTTTTACTTGGCCCAGTCCTGTCCCGACCATAAAGCTTAAAACAGTTTTAAAGTTTGAATTTTCTAGACATCATTCACGTAAGAAATTGTTCTGTGCGGTGGACTAGAAGCTGTAGCCACGCTGTTTTGTGTCCAAGAATTGATTTTAAGCAGCACATGAGAGGTTGTAGGAGTTCATGGAAAGTTAAAGTAGTGTTCAGAATCTTGAAACAGTTGGGAAGTCCATGTATTTTGCAGTTTTGTTCTTCAACTCTCCAGGTGTTTGACTCGAATGTTAACAAAGACAAGCTGTTGAGGCTAAAGCTGGGATCTGGAAAGGTCATCAAGGTAGGACTTCTGGCACTTCCATTATAATAATTGAAGTCTCAGGGCTTTGATTTACTGAACATCTTGTTCAGGATTCATCTATATTATTTCTCTTTCATTTAGTAAGAAACATGCTGTAACAGTGACTCAAACTTTATTTTCTTTGTGATTTGCACAATATATCCCAGTCTCCTTTTCGATGCCGCTGTTAGAAAGAAGTTGTCCGGTTTGGTAAAAAGGAAGCTTGCTGTTTTAAAGAGCTGAGCTTTTCAGGGTGGGGTTTTATGTTTGTTTTAGTGCTGCAGACTGAAAATAAATAGGATTTTACAAGAATCTCTCTATGTATGTTTTGGAGTCTTCCATAGCTGGTACCTGAAGCTATTATCAGTGTAATAAAAAAAAAAAAAAGAAATTATAATGTCACTGAACTAACTCTTTGCTTTCTCTTCTGCTATGTCTCTGAAAACTAAAGGGCTGGGAAGAAGGAATGATGGGGATGAAGAAAGGAGGGCGAAGATATCTCATTATTCCTCCGGCATGGGCCTACGGTGCTCAGGGCGTGGCTGGCCGTGTCCCTCCAGACTCTACTTTAGTTTTTGAGGTGGAAGTTAAGCGGGTGAGTGTCTCCTGCCAAGCATTTATTTTAGATCAGCTTTGTGACTGGATAGTGAAAACCTGCTGTGGGCATGAGAGTTACAGCTCGGAAACTATTGTAAACCAAATACCTCAGGAAGATGCGTATCTTTTAATTTTAAAAAACCAGCCAAGCAAAACCAACGAACCAAAACAAAACCCTAAAGCAAAAAAAATCTCTCTAGGCTGTTTACCAGGACATGTTGGTTCTAACTGTCTTGGGATCTTTTCATTGTCTTGTTTTCCCAAGTGACTCACAAATAAAATCCTTGTAGTGAGGAATGACAGGATGTAAAGACTCAGCTTCTCCGATGCTGAATCAGTTTCATGCTTTTACGTGAAGCACATGAGCTTGACAAAGGAGTAGTTATCAAAATTAAACACGTTGCTGAAAATTTTGTGTGTGTATGTGTGTCTTTTTGAAGGTGAAGTTGGTAAAGGAGTGCTCTGGTTCGGATGCACAGAGTGTTAGTTCAAGGGATTCTCCTGCACCTTCTCCAGTACCTAATTCAGATGGCTTCTCTGCGGACACGGGTTTGTCCCCTCCGTCTTCGGTACCTCCAAAGCCCGGGTAAGAAGCAGCCTGGTTAAAACTTGCTGTATTAAAAGATGGCAGCGCTCATCCACATGTGGTGTGATGCCATGTTAACGCGTCACTTGGCCAGTGTGAATCCTCCATGTGCCAGCCTGGTGTCACCTGCAGGGCGGAGGAATGCTCGCTAACCGAGACTTGCAGGAAGTTTTCTGATCGAATGCTGACTTGGATTTAGAGAAATGGAAGGAATCTGTTGTTCTGCAGCTTTACTGAGATCTAGCGGGATTAAGTTGTTTGGGGGCTGCTACAGCGGCTTTCTCAGGTGGCAGTATGGTCATAAGTTGGTCTTGGGTCATAGCTGATTTCTGTAATTGCATTTTTTACATTTTCATTTATTTGTTAAATGAGTCAGTCATCCTTTCAAGTTCAAGTTTAACTAGACTTTTAGTTGCCAGAAGTAGTTTGCTGTTGGTCTTGGTTAAAATTGCTTGTACCAGAATGTGGTCCTTACAGCAATCAACAAAAATGATCATTCTGTAATCAGCTGTTCCACAGCTGTGGAATGTGTCCCTAATGATGTTCGGATAATGTTGCAACGAGTCTTCTAAAAGTAAGCTAAAAGAAATGCTCACAATAAAAGAAAATGTTTTTCCTAGGGGAAGGGTGTTTGGCAGTAGTTAGAAATGCAGAATATTTGATCCTGAATTTCATTTTTGTTAATCTCTGGTATCAACATACACCCGTTTGGCTTTTCAGCGAGCCAGCTGTTCGGGCCAAGTCCAACTCCATCAGTGAACAGCTAGCGGTGAGTGGAGGGGGTTTCTCCTGACTAATTTGTTAGTTTGCTTTAAGTGGGCAAGCTTAGTTGGTTTTACCTTTGCCTTCAGCGCTGCTGCAGGTAAAGTGAACATCGTGCAAATAATGTCTCGAGTGTTGACCTTACTGACAGCAGGCGAGGGCCTTGGTTTTGAAGGGATTAGCAGAATGTGTGAGGAACTTCAGTTCCAGTTCCTATGTTTAAAATCAAAGTTCCTTTGACCGTGTGGATATTCACAAGACGAGTTTTCCTTTTCAGATGAATGGACAAAAGAGTAGTTGGGACATTGGGTGTAAGTTTCTATAGCTGCATGAGAAGACTTTGTGTGTGCCTCGTGGTAGAAAAAAAATCATACCTTTTCTTCTTGATGCTGTGTTTTGTGCAGAGCTGGGTTGCAGTGTCATCCCAGAAGAGAGTGTATAAAGCAAGCCAGATCAACAAATCTGCAGTGTTATCTTGTCTGCTTGAAAATCAGTTTTTCAGAGTGTCACTGAAAACTTGAAAGAACTAGAATTACTAAGTTGGTGGTTTAGAAGAGTCTAATCCTGACAGATCTCTCTGTAATGTCTCAGAAGCCCGGGCTGAGATACAAAGGAAGAGTAACTGCAGATATTTCTTTCAGAATCCAGATGTAGCAAAGGCAAAGCTAATTTCTCGGATGGCTAAGATGGGACAGCCCATGCTGCCTTTCCTTGCTGGAACAGCAGGTAGTCAACTCGACTCCAGTGACTCGGAAATAGAGGTACATCGTGAATAATTTTTTTTAATGCTTTTTCTACAGTGTGAATTCTTAAAAGTGGAGTCTGCAGCAATAGCTCTCCCTTTGCACGTGGAAAGGGTGCTCTGGTTTTGTGGCAGAAGGGTTTAACGAAGCCGCTGTTGCCATCTAGTTCAGTTGGGTTAACTGGGTAACAGCTAGTCTCAAGTGAGCTTGGCTTCAAACTGCTTCCTTGTTCTTCAGCATTCCTTGTAACACAGAGATGTTTTTAGGATCCAAACACAGCAAGAGGGACAGCACAACCGGTGGCCCCATCTTCCGTGAGACCGTCACAGCCAGCTCATGCAGTACTGCCCACGGTGTCCACACAAGGTAAGGTGTGGCAAGCCTGGCAGTGCTGTGGAGAGAAATCTTACATATTTGCAGGCTGGATGAATAGAGGATTCTTTTCAGGAACCGAAGTAGGAGCTGTTAAGTAGCTGCTTATTGTGAGTGTCAAGAAAGAGCCAGTCTCTTTTCAGTGATGCCCAGTAATAGGAATAATGGGTTTAAGCTAGAATATAGGAAGTTCCACCTCAACATGAGGAGAAACTTCTTCCCTCTGTGGGGGCCGGAGCCCTGGCCCAGGCTGCCCAGAGAGGGTGTGGAGTCTCCTTCTTTGGAGACTTTCCAACCCACCTGTACGCGTTCCTGTGGGGCTGCCCTGGGGGATCCTGCTCTGGCAGGGGGTTGGACTGGATGATCTCTAGAGGTCCCTTCCGAGCCCCACCATTCTGTGATTATACGATTCTAACCGGGCTTGCTGATCCCAAGCTCCATAAGCATGAGCCTGGAGAACTTGGAATATGTCTTGGCTGTGATCTCACGCTATGAGAGCAGCCACGATACATGAGCTGCTCTGTTATCATGTGTGCTGACGTGGCACTGAGATTTTTAGGGCGAGCGATTTGTAAATGGAACTGTTACAAATCCTTTCCCAGCTAACGGAATATATTTTTTTCTTTGAAAACGCTGGAAATGAGAGTGAAGGGCATTGGAGAGCTGGCAGCTCTGGAGCTTGACTTGTCTTCCCACACTGGAATAGTGATGTCAGCTGCTGGTCAGCTGAGCAGTCTTTGGAGTCAGTCTGAGTAACATGGTGTATCAGTAAACTTCAGAGCTGCCTTTGTTTGGCTGAAGAGAGGCTGTCTAAATGCAGCTAGATGTGGCATTTTTGTGAAAGATTATTCTTTTCTTGATCTTTTGTCACTTGCTTGACCAGATTTAATTTTCACAAGGCTGCAGACAGGCTTGTCTTAAGCTTTTGCCTGTTTAGTAATTTATTTTTTTAGCCATTTCACATTGGGCAAGTTAAATTATTTCTACCATGCTAATTATATGTAGTGTTAGTTCTAGCATGCTGAATTTCTTTATTCCTTTCCAGTACCTCAAGCAGCTGGTTCTGCACCCCCTGTATCTTCTGCTGCTTTAATACCTGCAACAATCCAGCCCCATTCAGCTCTGCCGGGAGGAGCACAGGGCTTTCAGGTACCAAAACAAAATTGAGGAGAATGTTCACACTTTTGGCCTTTCTCATAAATCTTCGTCTTTTCTATTGCTGGAGCAAGGACTTTTTCTCAGCCCATAAGGATGAGAATCTCAGGCTGTTTCCTGTGACGATTCTTTGGCATTCTCAGGTTTCCATCATGTGCCTCTTGGAATTTAATCAAAAAGGGCTAATTTTCTGTTTCTTAAAGCTGAACTAAGAACTAAACAGACTTCAATATCTGCCTTTGTTGTGGAAGCTTCCAAGTCCTTGTAGAGCAGGTGAAAACAAAAGCATTTGAGTTAGAAATTTTTCTTGGTCAGGATCTGTTTTTTCTGAGAGAGCTCCTTAGCACACTGAAAATGTTTGTGGGTCAGAGTTTTCCATCCAGCAAAAGAATAAACCTTTTAAAAGGCTTGCAATGCTGCTGCTGTAAAGCAATGCAGTCTGCTTGCTAACAAGAAAATGTTGGGGGCTTAACACACGATGTATTTTCTACATCAGATAATGAAGACTTAGTACAAAGCTCTCATACAGGTAATTCTATGAAGTCTAAACCCAAGCCTTTTACAGTCTGTTTTCTGTAGTTGTTTTCATTTAGCCTGTTTCCTGGAGCTTTTGGAAATCAGTGACCTATAATCACATAGACACACTGTTTGTTTTCAAAGGGTCCAGGCAGAAAAAGAAAACATTTGATAGTGAATAAAACCACTGCATTTTAAAAACAAAACAAAAAACCCACACAACCAAACAAGAAAAACCCCACACTAAGCCCAAAGCTGTTGTGACATTGCGTTACTTCTGGCTTTGCCTTCTCCTTGTGTCGAAAATGAGAAAATGTGGCAAGTAACAAGATAAAAAAGGTAGACGTTTCTGTTTGTTGAGATAGAAACTAGTCACTAAAGTGAAGTTCTGATCGGACATCAGGTGTATTGTTTTGAAAGTTTGACCTTGATGTCTCCAATTATTCTAGAAACTTGGCCCAAGTTGTGTTGTAATTTTTCTTTTTTCCTTGCTCAAAAGAGTAAATTGGTATGAGTGAGGCAGTTGTAGCATTTAACACGTTCTTCAATCTGTTCAACTGCTTCCGATGAGCAGTACAGTTGGAAACGAATTGTGTCGTGCTTCTTGAGCCCTTTGTAGGAATAACCTTGCGTTCAAGTTAGCTCAGCTTCAGAGTGAGCTGCTCCTGGGCTGGTCTTTGCCTCTCACAAACGCGGGTGCTTTTGCTTAAACCTCGGCGAAGAAGACGGCTTATTGAGCTGCGGTAACTTGAACACATGTCTAAGCCTTGGAAGAAGTGACTCTTATTTTCCTTTTACTATGACTGTTGTGCGATTTGACTTCCAGCTCGTTAGGTCCGTTTTATTACTTTCCAAATACCATCCTTGTTTCTGGGGTTTAAAAAAAATATGAAAACCACTAAAGTGTAAGGAGGAGGAGGAGAATATCAAACCATTCTAATGCGTTAAATTTGTTGTGCAAGGCCTATCCAGGAATGGCATTTGCTTACCCCCAAGCTGCTGCCTCTGCTTCTCAGCTCCAGCCTCTTGGACAGATGTATCCTGCACCTTACCAAGGTACGTTTAAAAAAAAGTACGTGCTTTTCAGAAGGCTGCAATACCTGCAGTAAACCCTTTTGTGATAATGATTTTGGTTGCATACATACACCTATTTATCCTGTCTGTGATGCCGTGCTGTTTCATAAATACTGATTGTTAATACCAAGTAGGGACAAACATTTTCCAGTAAATGCCCTTTTTTTTTTTTCCTTACCTTGAGGAACTTTACACAGTGTAAAAGGGGATGGAATTTCTAGGTGTATTGCCCAGGCTTTGTGTTACTAAAGGTATTTTATAGCTGGTGCTTCCGGTTATAAATAGAACTGCAGTGTAAACAGCTCTCCTAGCAGCCAGGGAAGGGATTGAAGTGTGCGTGTAGAGGCCTTTACTCAGTGAGGGGACATAGCCCCCCAAAAAGGCACAGCGTAGGAAGGACTAAAAGCACCTAAGGAACTGTTCAAGGAAGACTTGAGTATCGCTGAACCTCTCTTGGAGCACCTCTTCTTTTTGTTTTTCAATTTAAAGTTCCAGAGGCCAACCTTCATTGCTGTTTGATTTTACCTGTTGTCATGTCCCTGGGGCCTTACCTCGTGTTAACCCAAGTGCTGTCACATGGCTCAGTGATTTCCTGTACTCATAAACCTGTCTATATTAATTTTATTTGGAAAATTCCTATGTTATTAGTTTTCTAGATGCTGTGTCCCTTTGATTTCTGGGAAGAGAGTGGCTGTCTTATCTGGCAGGCTTCAAACCACCAAGCATTGCTTCGGAAATGTCCGTCTGCAGGCATTTTGCCCCTCGGGACTCTAGATCTCTCTCGTTTTCATTCCAGCACCCGGGGATGTTACTTCCTTTTTGATGACGGAAGCTCGGCAGCATAACACTGAAATCCGAATGGCCATTAGCAAAGTTGTAGATAAAATGGATCATCTGGCGGCCAAGGTAAGGCGTGACGTAGGCAGCCTTGGTAACGAAGCTCTCCAAACGTAGTCCGAGGAGTTGGCTCTGTTTTAATACCCGCATTCAGTTTGTGAGTGAGGTACTGACTTAGTGAAAATTCCGATATTACCAGACCCTGAAGCAGGAGCAGTTCAGTGGCAATGAAAAAGCTAAGCCTAGGCTTGGGGGAAGGTGCCGGCTCTTAAATATCCCTTAAATAGCTCTTAAATATCTTAAATATCGTATTAAATATGTGTTTGGAGAGATTCGCTGCCCCTCAGGAGTTGTTAGAGTTGATAGAGTAGCCAGTACCCCACAGCTGCTCAGATGGTACAGTGAAAGGGATCTTTGCAGATGTCTGACTCTTACCTCTGCCTGTAAATTCGTTTTATCTGGCTTAAGAAGGGCTCATCTCCCTGCAGGTGGAGGAGCTGCAGAAACAAAACACTGGTAACAGCTCGCTGCTGCCTGGTATCTCCTCTGTTAGTATGGAAGCCTCCATGATCATGAGCAATATCCAGCGCATAATCCAGGTGAGCGTGCACAGCGTTAGTTGTGTACTTGCATGAGGAACTGAAGGCCACCGTGTTATCCCTAACAAGGGTGACTGTACTGACTTGGCCTAAACATCCGTCCACCCATTCCATCTTTGTGTGGCACAAATCAACTGCCTAGGTAAGAGAGGGAGATAAACAATGATTTCCACCCCTCTCCACCTGAAAAAGGCTCTTCTGGACAGTTTGTGGTTTGTGTACTTTCTGAGCCAGAGTTGATATATTGGTATTTAATAAGCCTTGGCAAAAGGTTCATGTGAGAAATTCAGCCTCCCCTTAAACCGTTACAGACTTAACCCGCAGGGTCCTGCAGGACGGAGTTTCACAGCTGATGGGCTGTGTTGCAAGAACCACCTACTTCTGTTTTTCAAGACTTAAGTCTTACGATTAGTAGTTTTTCCAGGCAGCAGCCTTATAATCAGTGGCTTTTGTGGGTGAAAAAGTCAACAAGATGCAATGTTCTCTGGAATGTGGTTTGGCAACCGCTGTCCTGTGCAAGGATTCCTGCTAAATGTAGCACGACACCTTCCTGTGGTGTTACCACAGGAGGTGCTAAGTCTTACCAGTGTGCTGCATCTGTACAAAACAAAGGTTTAGGTGTTGCTGTGAGGAATTCTGAGTCAGGTGAATATTCATGCTGAGCTATGCTTTAGGAGAACGAGAGGCTGAAGCAAGAGATATTTGAGAAGAGCAGTCGGATTGAGGAGCAGAATGAGAAGATCAGCGAGCTGATTGAACGGAATCAGAGGTAAGGAGTGCGAGAGTAGAACCTCTGCATTTGCAAAAACTTTCTAGCTTACACTTGGTTAGGTATAACTAGGAGAGGTGTTCTTTAGGATAGAGGCATGGTCTGATATTTTTAATTTTTAAAGCATTAAAAGTGGCTTTTTTCCCCCTTTCTCTATCGGCAGGGCATATATCCAAAACTGCGGTTTACAGTAAATACAAATAAGTAAAAGGGCGGGAGGAAGCCCCTCACGCTGTCATCTTTGAGCACACACACTCTGCTTCTGGGAGTCCCTTTGATTTTGCTGCCTATTTAGCAAGGTGAAAGAAATCATAGGCACTCTGCTTCTGGGAGTCCCTTTGGTTTTACTGCCTATTTAGCAAGGTGAAAGAAATCATAGGGGGGTTGGGGTCCCCAGTTCTACTGTTGGTGTTCCTAGTTCCACATGTTCTGGTTTTACAGTCACATGTGTGTTCCATTCAGTTTAAGAATGGGAATAACTTGTTTTAGGGGAATGGATAAAGGTCTGTGGATATCGGGTTATTAGAACTCTTGGCTGTGTGGTAGGAACATTCGATTTGTTGCAGGGAGGTAAAGCCCGTATCCAAACTGTTGCAATCTCTGCTGTGCCAGGCACACCCATTCCACCCCTTCGAGGTCAGGCTTTTAGTGCAGGACATCCTGCAAAATCATCTCAGGCTTGTCACTGAGAAAATGTGACCTTTTCTGTCTGCGCCTTTTGCTCCAAGTTACGTCTTTACGTAAATGTTCACACGGTCTTCCTCGGTTTGCAGATACGTCGAACAGAGTAACTTGCTGATGGAGAGGAGGAACCATTCCCTGCAAACAACAAACGAGACCACACAGGCGAGAGTGTTGCATGCAGAACAGGAGAAGGTAATGGTGAATATGACCTGAGCCACAGAGCTCTGGCTGCTACCAGAAAAGAGGGGCTCGTTGCCCTAAAATGTGCTGAAGCCTTGGTAGTCGAGGCTTAAGTCAGCTCTCCTATGAGACAACTGTAGTTCTAAGCTTAACCTTTCAAAAGCTGCTTTGAGGAAAAAAATGTGAGTGCTTTTCGTGGCAAAAGTAGCACAGGATGTAAAGCTAAATCTTTCTGCTGTTGTAGCTTTAACGTTCTCATCTTCCAGGAAAGTGTCAGGTTTATTAAGTTTATAGGTATACGGCCAGCATGCTCAGGAGTTGTGTAGCAGGGCTTTGTTGGGTTGAAAAAGTACTTTTTGTTTCTTTAGTTGCACTGACAGTTTCAGGAAAGTTTTATGCTTTCTCTGTAACTGACATAGAATGAATGCAGCTAGAAGAAAAATTACTTCCTACTAGAGTTTCTTCACTGTAATTTTGCACCTTTTTTAATGCTAATCAGAAGCTGTTTGTTTCTACCAAGAATGTGTTGTTCTTTTGGGAAAGAGGCTGCTGGGAAATGGATTTTGAACCAGTTAAGTGAACTTGTGCATGGCTGCCTGTCCTGTAATGTCCACTTATGACAGCCTAGTCCAGACAGGCTAGTTTGGAGCTTGGTACTGACACGGTGTCTGCCTTCTCAGGCACTGTCTTCTTAAATTACACCGTGTTAATCTTGCACCGTGCTCCTCTGCGCAGTTGTGTGTCACCCCATTTCAAATGTGAGATGAGAAATGCTTGTTCTGCATGAGAACCATAACTCCATGCACCTAAAAACGACATAAGCTGCAGCTTTCTGAGGTGTGCTAAAGACGAGAGCAGCATATGGTGGATAATTGTCTGCTGGGGCGAGCGGATGGTAAAGAAGGGCTGCATTTTCCCACTGAGAGCCTGGGTCGCATACCTGTAATATGCAGGGAGTGCAAGGAGTTCTAATAAGGAAAAAATCAGATTGAAATAGCAGATAAGACTCTTTTCTGTCGGTGAGCGCAACATCCAGCTAGTGTGATAAGTAACTTGGGGAGGAAGCATTTTTTGGAAGTATGAGAGATGATCTTGAGGGATCTTTTGGGCCTCGTTTTCGATAGGGCTCCGCTTGATTCCACAGTCCCTGCCCAGGTGATACCACCGTCACATGAGGTGGCTTCAGGCTGGACCAGAAAAGCCACAACTTGCACTGACGAAGGTTTCCCCTGGCTTTGTGAGAGTATTGACTGTAAATATGAAGGCTGGGATTTCTTCATTTTGTCTCACCTCTGTAACTGCAATTGCCGAGGTCGCTACGGACAGACAGAATCAGGGAAAAGAATTTTAAACTATTTTACCTCTTCTTTATTTCAAAACAGCAACTGGCCATTTAGTCTGTGGTACAGGCTGGGCATCTATATCTGGGGGCACTGAGAAGAGATGTTAGTAGCTGCTGCTTTGGGGTTGTAGATCTTCGACCCTGGCAGAGCAGACCACAACTTTAGACAAAGACTTCATGTTCCATAACGATAAGTAATTCCTCACGTGCTCCCCAGCGCAGGGAAGCGCGGCGGTCACACGTAGGACCGCTCCTGCCTCCATGGTGTGTAATGTACCAGGAGGGATACCTTTAGCATCTTTCTTTTTAAGACAAGCTTCACTATCGTTTTCTGTCTAAGCATTTGCAGTCCTCAGAATAATTTAAAGGCTTCTCTGGCATGCCTTGGGCTCTTGTGATGAAGCGTTTTGCTTTTCTGATGATTTAATGCCTCTGCTTTTCAAGTTGTGTTCTTAACTCTTGCTGTTTCCTGTCGCTGCTTTCTCTTCCCAGCACGCGCTGCCGGTGGATCGGGGCTGGCACCAGGTGAGGCAGCGTGCCTGCGGACTGCGTAGGGGATGGATAACCGTGCCCTAGGTAGCACCAGCCCGGCTCCCTCTGGAACTAGCTAGAAGCTGATGGGCGTTAAAAGAATCGCCTCGGATCTTGAATTAGCACGGATCTTCAACTCGGAAAAGGGCTCTGCAGCTGGCAGCGCAGCCACTGGTCCTCTCTTTCTTGGGGAGCCCTTTCGAAGAAATCAGTCATGTTGCTGCTCCTTTGACCTCTGCCATGGGAGAAAAATAGGGTGTGATCATAAAATTGTCAGAGTAGATACAAATCACGTAAGATTCTTGGTACCTGAAAGCTGGAGGCTGGAGCTGAGCTAGTGGAAATATGAAGCATTCACTGCAGAAACTTAAGTCTTGTAACAGTTCCTGGCAGAGAATTTCCTTTTTATTTTTCTAATTTGCCATTAAAGTGTCAAAATAACCTTTAGGTATGCCATGGGGTTTTGGTTTTAGCCTGCTTAGGAGTGTTGGTATCTTCAACTGCCGTGAGACATTTTAAGGAAACATGAGAGGAAAGCAGGTCAGGTTTTAGCCAGTCTCTGTTGAAACACCGCCTCCTCTTTAAAATTCAGGGTGTAGTATCCCAGCCCTCAAGGTCAGCACATTCATCCTCACCATAGTTGGAAAAATTTTGCTTACAGCTTTCCTCCCTGCCAGAAGGTGGTGGTCCTAGCCTGAAGAGAAATGCTTTAGTTCTCTTATGGAGATAAAGCAGAGGGAAACTCGAATTACCCTGAATTTACCAATAACAAGAATGTGAAATCCTGTGGAAATTTGAATGTAGGTGTGGATACAGAGAGCAGCAAGCGAGGTTTTCTGACAGGTGTAGTTCTGTCCTTTGCAGAGCATCCTCTTGAGTTTTGTGTGCCTCGCAACAAGGCTGGGAACGTGACTTTGTGTCTTGGGCTTGATGCCTTGAGCCTCTCCTAAAGTCTTCTGTACAAGTTGTCTAACAAGCTCTGTTAGTGCCTGGTTTTACATGAGTCATTGACTTTGAGCAATACTAAATCTAAACAGGTCAACAAATTACTGTGAGAACTGTGCTCCAAAATGACAGCCTTGCCTGTGCGGGCACCTCATGGTGACTCGGTGCTGTGTGCTCTGGTGGGAAGGTGCACTTTTAGCTGGAACAAGTGTGGCTTTTCAGGGATTTGTAAGCTTATTGAAGATAATTAAGTGTTGGAGCCCAGGCTTTTACTTGAATGGATGTTCTTGTAGCCTGAGAACTCTTGAGCAGAGCCACCAGACACTGGTACTAGCCTTAAAAACATGTTTAAGGCTTTCAGGAAAACTCTCTGAGTTGGACTAAACGTGGTGATGAGGTGGTTGGTGGCCTTGTGCAACTTCCTAGTCAGTCTGGCCAGGTTACTGCCAAACAACTTGCAGCGACATGGCAAAAAAAGCTGTTACCGTTTCAGCGTGGAGATGTCTGTGAGGTGCTGGACCCCAGCACTTCCCTGATGAGATCTCCAGTACCTCCTGCCTGTGAGAGCAGCTCTGCTGGCTCCTTCTCACACTCACGTACCCTTTTTTCCACCCTGCCACCCACCCACCTTTTCCCTGCTTCCTTTTGTGATACAGGCCAAAGTTGCAGAAGAGTTAGCAGCTGCCACCGCGCAGGTTTCCCAGCTGCAGCTGGAGCTGACCGCCCACCAGAAGAAGGAGATGGACCTGCGGAAGCAGCTCTCTGCTGCGCTGCAGGAGGCCGAGCGGCACGAGGCTCAGCTCAACAAGCTGCAGGCACAGTTAGTGGGTAAGAATTCTGCCTGTTCCGTGAGAGCTTCTTTATGGCATTCTTCTTCTTCATCTTTAGGAGTCGTAGGTTTTTCCTTTCTTTGGGGATCTCTATTCCTGCTTTCCCTAGGATCAGTCACAAGGGTATCAAAGAAGGATGTTGACTCCCTGTGATATATGAAGGGTGTGCGCATCCTTGTTGCTGCTTATGGGTGTAAGCTGTGTTGTTGATTTTCTTTATTGTTCAAGAGATTATGTTCCTTCCCAGCAACCCCTAAAAGTGCTGACCTGAAGCATATGTAGTGCTGAAACCCACAGCAAAGTGTATTTTTGCAGAGCTCCAGGAAGCCTCTAATGACACTCAGACTAGATTCAAAGCTGAGAAGCAGAGCCGCAAGCAGCTGGATGTGAAGATTACAGCACTGGAGGAGGAGCTGATGGACCTAAAAGTGGAAAAGGAGGCTCTTGAGAGGGTAAGTCTGGTGCCAGAATTGCAGAGAGATGTAGCATTTCAGTTGTTTGAAATGTAACCCAACGTTCTTGCATTTAAACATTCAAGTTAGGTAAATCTTGACTTGTCCACAGGCAAGGATCACTATGCTGGTACATCCTTTGTGTTCATGTGATTTTTATTTAAAAATATCTTAGACATAGGAATCTTAGCTTGATTTTAAAGCACTAAGAGTCCCTGCTTAAAGAAGCTCTTTCTGATCGAGGACGAGAAGCTACTTTGGTGCAGCCTGGCCTGTTCTCTGTCCTGTTCTGTGTTACAGAATCTTGCAGAGAGGAAGAAGAAATCCCTCTCAGAGAGAGCTCAAGCAGAGGAGGAGATGGAAGAAATACGCAGATCTTATCAGCAGAGCTTCGACAGCTGCTGAAAAAGGCACAGACTTCGACTGACCAGGCAGCAGCAGAGCAGGTGAGCACTCATGGGACCTTCTCCAACAGGTGTCTGGAAGGCTTGTAGGAACCTACAGGTAGGAGATAGTTGTGCAAATGCTCAGGCAGCAGAAGAGTGAGAACATCATCTGCTTGATTTTTAGGGGTTGACTGTATAACACAGAGTTCACTTGATTGTCTTTCTAAAATATCTTTACTGGTGTTTGTCTGCCCTGCTTCTGACTTTAGGATGGTGTCGCTCTGAGGAAGGGCACAGTTTGAGTGGGCAGGAAGGCTGCTGGGTCCCGCTCGTTCTCTGCCTCGACTCACAGCCCCCTTGACATGGCTGCAAGAGTTTTGGTGCAGCTTTGGAGCAGACTGGCATGCACTGCGTTAAAGAGAGCACTGAACTGAGGAAGGGAGAGGCACCAAACTGAGCTTGTAGTAGAGAGGAGGATATAGGATTGCTGATTAATAAAAGCCTGCTTAGAAATATACCAAGAGATGGGAAATCTGAGCCAGCCCTTCAGGCCAGCCTGAGGGATTGTGGCCGGATTTGAACTCTGAGAGGGATGAGCAGGAGCTAGTGACGGCTGTAGGGCTCTGTCTGCACACAGGTATTCCAGCCTGGGGCAGGTGATGTTGTCCAGCCCCAAGCTTTCAGCCAGTTCCTGTGCAGATGTGGATTATATGCGTGTGTTTCTAACAATCTCTCTTACACAATGGGCAGCTGTCGCTCATCCAGGCGGAGCTGGAATCCCAGTGGGAAGCCAAATGTGAACGTACGCTGGCCTCGGCCAAGGAGCAGCACATTAGACAGTACCAGGAGGTGTGTGAGCAGAGAGATTCCCTGCAGCAGCAGGTGTCCCAGCTGGAAGAGAAGGTAAAGGGCTGTTCTTTATTGCTGAAATGTAATGCCAGACAGCCAGGAACTGGAACCAACAGTCCTCTCCCACCTACTTGTGGCTCGACTTTTTTGTTTCTTGACCGTTAGAGAATTTGATCTTGCCCACGGGATGAGTCTGTGGTTGCACATGTTATGTTGGGTTGGTGGGCTGAGGAATTCACTGCCGCGGTTCTGAATGAGGGAAAGCTGAGGTGGTGTCAGTCCCAGACTAAAGCAACCGCTACAGTCTCTTGTCTGCACTGTTCTGAGCAACTGGTTTTGAGCAGAAGCTGTTTTGAAAGGAGATGATTCTGAAAAGGGCTGTGAACTGATGGGCTCTAGTTCTTGTCTTTCAGCTTGCAGCTGTAAAGCACTTGAAAAAAGCAGAGGAGCAAAAATTGTCTGAGTTTCAGCAACGTTTGGAGCAGCTAGAGCCTATCGAAGAGAAGGTAAAGAGAGTAATGCAGCAGCTGTTACTTTAAACTCAATGAGCTAATGACACAGTTTTGGACCTCCAAAGCTTTAACTTGGTTGGATGTCTTTATTTTGGTGCTGTTACTATCAGCTAAGTCTTGCAACACCCCGTCAAAGCTCTGCTTAGAAGTCCACTCAGCAATTTACCCCTTGCTTAAAAAAACCCTGTTTCCAGACAGCCCGTTCTGTTGTCCGTGAAGCTGTTCTGACGCAGGTTTCTCTTTGGCAGTGCTCAGCCCTGCAGTCTGATCTCGCAGCACTGAAGGCTCACTATGAACAACGCATCCAGGACCTGGAGAAGGATCGGGACGGATCTTCGCCTGCAGATTTCACAGAGGAAGTGAGTTTGACTCTCCAATGTTTCTCCTTACTAAGCAAATCTGTTTTCCTTTGAGTTATTTCTATTTGAGCAGAGATAAGAAGGAAAACTTATTTTTTCCACAGAAGCGCTGTGATTCTTATAGCAGGGTCTATAAAGGATCTTCCTGCTGCCTACTCTGTTGCTTGCTTTTTTATTTTATTATTAGATTAAAACTTGAGATTTGAGGTTTAGATTGAACAATTGAAAGAATAGTGAGAAGTGTCAGTTTGCCTTGGCTTTGTGCAACCTGCCTCCGTTTTGGAGGGTTGGGTTTGGTGTGTGTACATGTAGTGGTTCTGAATGAAGGTGGCAGAGTGTGTTCTGCTTCGTTACGGGGGTTTCTCGTTTGAAAAAACAGATTCGTTGGAAACCGCGTGTTTGGATTTATTGTTCCTTCACCTGGAGAAGTATCCGATGTTGAGTGTAGTGCTTCATATCTTTGTTTCCTGTTTTGCTCTTTTTCCAGGTGAAGAAGATAATGAATGGTGTATTTCAGTCCCTTCGGGGTGAATTTGAGCTGGAGGAGACATACAGTGGCAGGACGGTTCTGGGTGTTGTCATGAACACTATTAAGGTACGACAGTGGTGAGAGGGACAAGGCCATCAGTGGGGCTAGAACCACAGATTTTTGTTGAGTCTGAAATAAGCATGAAGCAGAAATTTGTTGTGGGTGGCAAAGCAGCCCAGTAGTGGAAGGTAAAGGGATCTGTGGTGGTTTATGTTTAGGGTATAACCTCCATTCTCTTTACTGATTTTTTTTTTTTGGTAGAGTGTAACACTGCAGCTACTCAGCAGACAGCAGGAGAAGCCAGGCTACGACAGTCAGCAGGAGGAATCTGGAACAGGAGCAGCAAGGCGGGAGGGATCACCTGGAGCGAAGACTGATGATGAAGAGCCGGTGCGGTGCAGCCCGGCACAGAGTGTCGCACTCTCGGCGGATCCTGTGGAAGCAACCCCAGGCCCCGCGGTGGCTGACCGGGACGGCGAGGCTGCTCCTCTGCCTGCCAGGCCCAGAACTCCTGAGGAGGAGCAGGTGACATGGAGCAGTGGGGAGTCAGGAGAGGAGAAGGTCGAAGGAGAACATCTCTCTTATGCAGCTGATCCAGATAAGGGGCCTGTTCCCGAGGCGGATGAGGACTTTGTCCCAGCTGAGCGAAGGCAGGAGAGCAGTCCCACCAGGAATGAGGCTGAACGCTGTCCCTCCAGAGCATCTCTGCAGGTGGAAGTCATGGATCCTTCTGTGGTAGAAGCCAAGCCAGGAGAAGCGGTGCTAGCAGAAAAGCCGGCTGCGGGGCAGAAGGCAGATTCCTCTGCGGGAGGTTTAGAGCCCCCGCCCCTAAACGGTGAGGGAGGGACCTGCACAGGCCCATCAGATGGAGCCAGCTCCGAGAAGGAGCCTGGTTCAGTATCCAGCACCACAAAGCCGAGCTCAGCTGTTGTCAGAGAAACCCCAGGACAGCAGGAACGGGGCTCCAGCCCCAGCCAAAAAGATTCCAGGTGAGCTGTGACTGCCGGGGCAACCACGGTCATGCTGTCCCACTGAAGTGCTGGCTCTGGGGTGGCAGCACCCTGCGGCAGGGCCGATGCACCATGGTGGCACCAGCCCTTGGCTGGTGAGGGGGACGCTGGTGTCTGTTGGAGGAGGAAACGATGCCGTTATCCCTGGGACGTGGGGCGCAGCTGAGCGCGGAGGGGAGCGTGCCGCTTTTTCCAGGGTCTGGCATGGGTGGCTGCCGGGTCCCAGCACCGTTCTGTGCTGGTGGATAGTACCTGCCTTTAACACTTTTGCCTTGGTGGCAAAATTTTTCCATCATTCTTCAGCAGAACTTGTAAAACCAAATTCCCATCACCTGCAAGCGAACTGTTGATTCTTTATCTTCCTCTAGCCTCTTTGAGGACGACAACTTCTTCGAAACAGCATCTCATAAACCACTGAAGCCTCAAGTTCCCTCTGAAGAGGAGGATGAGGAGGAAGTGGTATGTATTTGTGTCTTTCCTCTCCTACTAAACTGGTTCAGACGTTGACCTTGTCTGTGAAATCCTTCCCGTGGCACTGGGGGACTGACTGGCTCCTGCTGCCGGAGCTCAGAGCTTCCCGAGCGTTCTGTGCACAAACCGGAGGTCCCTGGGTTTTTTCAGTGTTGAGCTTTGGAGGGGTCGCCTGGGCTGAGAGAGTGATGACAGAAGTGGGTGAGATTTGCCAGGCTAATGGAAGGGTTTTATTGTCTCACCCCTCTCTTAGCCTGTAAAATCTCCCCTAGAATATCAAGAAACGTGTGAGGAATACAAAAAGTTCAGCAATGGAGGCTTCTTGATGTCATCTTAAAGCTGATGGAGGTTTCCGAGCCAGAATTACGAAGCCTTTACTAGACACTGCAATGCTCCTTAGACTGACCAGTGTCGCTCTGACTTGACTTCCAGAGCATGAAGGGGCGTCCCCCTCCAGCTCCCCTCTTCGGTGATGATGACGATGATGATCTGGACTGGCTGGGATGAAGAGCTGGATGGTGAGGCCTCTCCCCTGGGCACGGCCTCTTCCTGCGCACTTGGCACATAATGAGCTGCGTTCGTGGGACAGTTGTGACCGACCGGGGACTTCCCAGGCTCTTGTCCTGCAGACCGATGGGGCCTGAGAGCAAAGTGGCTCTTTCTGCGCTCATGGGCACTTGGGCCCCATCGCTCTGCCCTGACAAACCCACGCAGAGGTTGGGGCGAGCCGAAGGAACCGACCGGTCTTAGTGCACGTTCGTATCACTGTCCTACTTCTGTGAACCATTGATTCATTAATCTGAAACTTTATGCAAATGAGAACGTTGTCAAGTGCTTCAGAAGAACACGTCTGGCAGGACCCTGCAGTAGGTAACTACTTTTTAGAAAAAAAGAATAATACAGACTAAAATCTCATCTCCTGCCCTGGTGAAGATCCCCTTGGACTATTTCTCTTAGTCACCAGGGTGGCTCCCAGGGACTCTCCACCCTCTTGTCACTGCCTGTGAGCAACGTGCAGTGAGAGATTGGCCTGAGAGGCTGTGGGCAGATGTTTTGGGAGGGGCCTGGGTCCGCACAGCCAGCCCAGAGAAACCCTCAGGGCTGAGGCAGCTTGGGTTGGCCCTGCTGCACCTCCGGAGCCACGGCACACGTGGTGCTCGCTGCCCCCCAGCCTGACCCGTGGGGGCACCCAGTACCGGTACTGAAAGTCAGGGCCCTGTCAGACCAACGCTCCAAGCACAGATGTAGTGTCTAGTCAGGGGTGGGGTAAGAAGCCAAATGCCCCCCCTGTGTGCTGTGGAGGGCCCCGAGGCTCACCGAGACCTCAGAAAGATGATTCACTGTGCAGCCAGCTCCTCTTCTCTCGGTGTCCAGAGGGGACATTATTTTTTGTTATTTTTTTTCTGGGTTGTTTCCCTGGCACTGAAAGGAGCAATACAGCTGTGTCGTGTGCTGCTTTTCTGGAGAGACGGTTACTGCAGGCAGCCAAGCCCATCTCCTGTGCCTTCCCTGCCGCTGTTTGAAGCGTAGCAATCAGCATGGGTGGGACAGGAACTATAACCCAGCCTCACCTGGGCTCTGCCAGGCACCAGAGGGCTCAGGGTATGACTTCAGTGTAAGAGGGGAAAGCAGTGAGGACAGAGAACTGGGCAAACACGCTGGGTTGCTCAGAGCACTTCCACCCTTGTTGGCACTAACACGGTTTAAAACTATGGGCAGGTCTGAGAGTCTTCTAAATGAAATAAGCCCCCGTAATAAAATGGAAGTGTTTAAAATAATTCCACTGCAGTTTTGTTTCTCTAGCTGCCTCTTCTTTTCTCTGGACTGAATTTGAGCCATCTCTGAGGAGGGAAAAGCAAAAATTAAATCCTGGGCATTCCTCTGCTGGAGCATAGCACAGGGCAGGTCCCTGCCAGATGGAGCTACACGTGGGGAAGAGACCAAAGCCTGTGGAAGAGCTGGCCTGGAGCTGGGCCAGCGCCTTTCTCGTGGGGTGAACTGAGCTGGATTTTTCCTGGGGAGCCACTCCAGAGGTCAAAGCACCAAACAGTGAGGCGGTGCTGCGTGTGAAACTCAGATTTGCTGAGGGTTCCCTTCCTGGTGCTGGTCTGAGCGAGGTACGTGGCCTCTGGCCCCGTCTGTGGCAGTGTCCTAGTGGGAGTCATTGCTAATACTAACAAATTCCACCTCTTGTTTATTGTTACCATTAGACAACCTGAGGGATTCACGTTTCACTTCTTGAAAAATAAAGTGCAATTAAACCTGTATTTTTATATTTGTGTGGGCTTTATTGTAGTCTGGCTTCATCTGTCTCGGTGTGCTTACACCCTGGCTTAGCGCCGACTCAGATCAGGACTAAGCTGATGTAAAAACTCTTCTAGGAGTGTTCTTGCTCTTAAACCCCTCTCCTGGGAAAGGTCTCAGTGCTGTGACCGCAGCTCCTTGGGCTCTCCCGTTGGTGCTGTGAGAAGCTGCAGTACAGATTCTCGTGATGTATTTGGGGTCACTCACTGGTTCTCCATCGAGATCTTGGGGATTGGCAGCAGCACCTCCAGAGCCAGGGCACGGGTGGTGCTCGCTGCCCCCCAGCCTGACCCATGGGGGCACCGGTACCCAAAGTCGGGGCTCTGTTAGACCAACGCTCCAAGCACAGATGCAGCATCTAGTCAGGGGTGGGGTAAGAAGCCAAACGCTCCCCACTGTGTGCTGTGGAGGGCCCCGAGGCTCTCAGAGACCTCCCGAAGGTGATAGGAGTCTCCCCTAAGCTGGCTACGTGGGTGCAGGGGCTGCAGCTGCTTCACTGTGCCCCTCTGCTCCGACTGGGGATGGGGGAGCAGGGGTTGAGCTTTCAAGCGTGTCCCTCTAAAAGCAGGCACAGCCAGATAATGCCACCCGTTGTCTGCAGTGGCATCTCCCTCCACCCAGGTCCAGCTCCCCGACTTCTTCTGTCTTGCTCTCAGGACCTAAAATAACCCATGTGTGGGTTCTTCACCCATATGGTCACCTGCCTTGGGTGGAGGAAAGGGGAACGTGAGGAAGCTCAGGGCTTCCTGCAGGGACAACGGCCTCTGGGAGCCATGGGCGGGCTGTGCCCGAGGAGGGGGAGGCGCTATCCTGGGGGTCTGCGAGGGGCTGTTTCTGCTCCGGAGTGCTGCTCTGTGGCCAGCAGGTGGGTGCACTGTGGAGGGGGGAACCTTGCTGAGGATGTGGCTGGGAGGGTGGAGTTGGGGTTTGAGGCCTCGTTCCCCCAGGGGCTGGAAGAGGGAAAGGACCCTTCTCCACACCAGGAGCCTGGTTATCGCACCCAGTCCTGGCCTCTCGGAGCGAAGGCAGCGCAATGATCTCGGCCGAACCTCTGCCTTCCTCAGATGCACAGAAACACAACCAGAGCCGGTGCTGAGCCCATCTTTAATGTCTCACATCTCTGTGGGGCTGTGCCCTTC